TGTGTGTGTGTGTGTGTGTGTGTGTGTGTGTGTGTGTGTGTGGGGCTGTAAACACTCTGTAAAAAGCTCACTTTCACCGTGTGGATCTATGAACCTCTATCCGTAACGGTAAAAACACAGAAAGAGAGTAGCACGAGATAAAACTTGTAATCAGCAGACAAGAATCCTGGAGGATAGAGACAGTGTCGAGGTTCCTCCGTGTTTCAGCATAGTCATCATGTGGAAAGGCTGTTCAGGATCAGCGGGCCCTCTGTGCCCTCTAGGCCGGAGAAGATGCCTGGGAGGCGGCCTCAGCACACCCGATGTGACGGGGTATGTTTGGTGTTTTTTTGAGGAGGACGATTTTAGGGACCCGGCTGTGAGGATGCATCTGAGAGGGACACAGGGGGGTCCGACTGGAGACAACACACACACACACACACACACACACAGCCCTGCAAAATTGCCCCTATAGAGCCAAACGGCTACAAAACCATAAAACTCCCAAAGCTGAAAAGAAGAGGAGGAGGAGGAGGAAAGAGGAAGGAAGGAGACGTGTCATGTGTCGCACACAAAATAAAATGTCACAACCCTCACTCCAAAAATTCTCTAATCTTTTCTGCACTTTCATTATCCTCAGTAAGTATAGTTCTGTGTCGTCCTGTGGCCCCTCCATCACTCCTCTATCTGAAGCCCTGCACTAATATTTGCGCTCTCCCCGCGTGTCCAGCTCCATCAGTCCCATTAAATCCTCCAAATAAATTAGAGCAGGGGATCCTGAAACTTTTCCTCTAATATTTCCTCTCTGTGTATCTTTCCTCGACCCCCCCCCTCTCCCCCCTTTCTCTCGACGTGTTTGCTTTACAGCCGTTTAGTTCTTAACCTTCAGAAATTTATACGCTATAAACTTTTATTGCCGTCATATTCTTTTATTGCGCCGCACCGCACTGAATCCTCTTCCTCTCTGCTCTCCTCTCCTTTTCCCTCTTCCTCTTCGCTGTTTTTACAACAGTCGGCGGCGGCGGCTTCTTTCAACCCCGCACGCATCCGCTCCCGCATCCCTCATCGCCCCCCCCACACCCACCATCCCCCAACTCCACTCCTTTTTTTTTTTTTTTTGCAGCCGTGAGCTCAGACACCCGGTGCGTGCGGCACATCCTGCTCCTCTCTGCTGTTTGTTTCCTTGAAAAACATCAAGTGTGCAAAACAACTGACGTGAGAAAGACGAAGAAGAGGAGGAGGAGGAGGAGGGAAAGCTGCTGGTGCTTTATTGGCCCAAAGGGATAAATGCTATCACGTTTTTTTTTTCTCTTTTTCTTTTTCAAATAAAACAAACTAACGCATCAAACCCCGGCGGCCCGCCTGCTCAAGTCCACTTGCGGTTTCACAATTGCAGGAGAAATAAATGCGGGGAGCCTCATATCTCCTGCGAAGCTCCGCCGGGCGAGCCGCTGCAAGAAATCAAGCGCCTGTGAGATTTGTGGCTGCAGGAGCGCAGCCACTGTGAATGCAGATGGATGTGAAT